TCTCCTTTTTTTTGCTGATATCAATGATGGATATTCCATCTCCTTTAAGAGACTAAGTATCTCACACAGTAAAATTGGCATTATGAAGATTATGGTGTACGTGTGAAGATTATAACATACCTTTTAATAATATCACGTTAAGGTTATGGTTTACTTGTTAAGGTTAAGTCATTGCTGTTGATGTGTTATTTTATTATACTATGTAAGTGAACATCTTTTGTTGTATCCTTAACAGATATATTCAATGAAAAATTAGTTAGTAAAATTATCTTAAGATATTTTAGGGTTTGAAAAAGGTATTGCTGATTGTGAAAGATTGGTTTTTAATTAATAGACTTAAAATAGGTTGCTTAGGTTAACTCCACTAGATTTTCTGAACTTGGTCTTTTATGTAATCTATTTTACTTACTAGAACCCTAAAGGCATAAACGATGTTTCATTAGAAACTATAACCTATTAATTAGTTAATCCTACTAATTAGACTTTTTATTACTAGAGTTTAATATCTTTAGTATAGGTTATGCTGAATTAAAGTCTATAACCTATCAAATCAAAATTAATCCTAACTTTTTAGATTAACTAATCTAGTTTATTTATTAGGATTTAATCTCCTAACTGTAGGTTATGCAAAAATTAATTGCCTCTAGCCTATCAAATTATAATTAACCCTATCTTTTATTAATCTAAAATAATTAATTTCTTTTCTTAACTCAAAGAGATCTTTTTATTAATCTAGAATAGTTGTCTAGCTTTGTTAGTCTAAGCCTTGTAAAGATTATTAGCAACTCATAATTAATTAAAGAGAAATGAAGATTAAATATAATTAAAGAAAAGAGAAGGAAGAACAAGAAAATAAAAATAAGAATACAAAGAGAAGAAAGAACAAGAAAATAAAACTAAGAAATTAAACAATTTGCTAAATTGGAGCAACTAAAAAGATGAACTTGTACTCCAAAATAGCAAGCAAAAAGATGAACTTTATTGAATTTCTCAGAAGTTGAATATGTAAAATATAGTGGTCATAGGCCCCTATTTATACTATACAAGAATCTCTCACAATCGTCAAATTAAACTTGATCTTTAAATAACCCTCACAATCCTAAGATTTGACTTGGTCTACAATGAATTGAATATTTTCATAATATAAATAAGAGTCTAAAATCTGATCATATTTAGATTTCATCTAGAATATTCCAGAATCAGATACTAATAATGGAATTTAAGGAATCAATATGAATGGATCTATCTTGTCGAGATAGGCAATTTTTATATATAATAAGTTAGATTCTGACTTCTGGATTTGGAGAAATTGCCTTTTGTTTGTGATTGATATTCTAAATCCGAATTTGACTTATATTTTTTTCCTGGCCTCCAAGTAATTGAATACTTCTTTTTCTTCTTGATTCTCTGGTGTAGACCAATTGCCTTTAGTTTGTGATTGATATTCTAAATCCGAATTTGACTTATATTTTTTCTTGGCCTCCAAGTAATTGAATACTTCTTTTTCTTCTTTATTCTCTGGTGTAGACCTAATTGTGACTTGATTGATTTTTTTTAGAATTTGGTCTTTCTGGCTTCAATAGACTTCTTTGGGTTACTTTTATTCCAAGTCAATATTTCATGAAAATTCACTACAAATACCCGAGTAGCAATTAAATATATATAAAAAATAAAAAATAAGTGAGGGATAAAAAAAATGATATAAACTGTGCTAATGTTCTATTATGGTTATGATTTACTTGTTAAGGTTATGATATATCTGTTAATGTTATGGTGTACATATTAAGGCAATGTCTTGCTTGTTAAGATTATGGTGAATTCTAACAGATAGAGGTTAGCAATATCAATATTAATTTATTAGAATTAAAAAATTAAACAAACAAATTCAAAATTTTACAATTTAGAAGTTTAAGAAACATTCATCTAGTAAAATTAACAAATAAGACTAAGTTTTATTAACAACCCATGAACTTTAACATATAATGTATAAATTTAATCATTATACCCTAAAATTAACAACCAGTGAGTAATATTAACAGCCAATGTTCCAAATTAACATGTTCTGTATAATTTAATAGTACTTAGCATATAACGATAAATTTAACATATTATTGCTAATATTCAAATCTTAAAATCTTAAAGTTAAATGAGATTTTCTAAAAACCCTAAACTTGAGGGAGGTCTTATGATATTTGAAAAGTTATGGGAGGTTATTAGATAATCACACAAAGTCAAGGGGGGGTTTCTAATAATGGTAAGAGATAATTAATAAGTCTTATACTTTTACTCCATTGACCTTTATCCACTACTCCTTATTCCTCATTGTTTAGGCAAGAATAATAATGAAATAGTGAGTTAGAAAAGCTACCAAATTTAATAAAGACCTATTAAGAATAGTTAAATATACACTAGAAATTATCACTTTTTTAACAGTTATAGTATAACTTAATAGGTACACCATAATCTTAACAGAAACATCTTAAACTTAACAAGTATGACATAACCTTAACAGATACGTGATAAGGTTAGCATTAATGCTATTACCTTTGCATATATATTATAAACTTAACAAGTATATTATAATCTTAACATGTATGACCTAACCTTAACAAGTATATTAGAACCATAACAGACACATCATAACCTTAACATGTATGCTAGAACATCAACTGCACTGTGAGATCTCCGTGATATTTCCCTCGTTTTGTTACAAAAATATATCACCCCCCTTCTTCGTCTTCATGATGCCAAATTTGTGTTGTGAAATACATCATGATGCTAATTTTTGTATCGTGAAATACTTTCATTTATATTAGTTTATGCAAGCAAAACAATCTTTACTAAGGAATACTTTCATTTATAATGCATTTATAAAATGCTATCTAAGTAAAATCCAATGCTTCTTCATCCTCCTCCTCTTCTCTCCTCTCAAAACCCATCAAGTTCAGAACCCTCACAAATTCCTCTCCCAAACCCTCATTATCATCATCATATACAATCAACCCATACAATTATAAGTTTACGTAATTTTGATATTTATATACACATAACTACACAACGAGATCTCTATGACATTTTATTTGTACATGACCTGTTATTACCACAATCCAAGAAACCATATCTCTATTTGGCACTTCATCAGATACTTTACAAGCAATCTCCAAACTGCCACATATCATATACTCATTTAACATGCTACTCTTAAAAGTCAAATCTCACTCATCTATTTCAATTAAAAATAAAATTGGACAAGCTCTAATCTACCACTAAGAAGTAAAATCACATAATCGAATCATAGGATTTGTTTGAAAGAAATAGTGAAGGAGAGAGGCGAGAAGATACATAGGCAGTTTTGAGGAGGTTGGTTCATTCGGTGCAAAGATCAATAGTGCAGTTAGCGATAGTTAAGGGAGGGATAGAGAGTTTGACAAAGAAAATAACAATCTTAGACATCATGCAAGAGAGTTCAAAGGAGAAGGGAGAATGGTTGAGGGAGTAGAAGATGGCGGTGAGCTCGGCGGTGGAGATCTTGTCATCGGCATTGGAGTCAAACTTGTTGAGGATGCGCTCTATGCCTATAGTGGTAGAAGGGGTAGGATGCGATTGAAGGAGAGGATTGAAGAGGGGTGGAAACCCTAGAGAGGGTTAAGTTGGGAGGAGGAGAGCTTGAGCGAAGGCAAGAAAAGAAGGGGGAGAATTAAGAGAGGAAGAGAGTTGAGTTAGGAGGGGGAAGAGAGAG